CCTCTCACCGGTGGAAGGCCTGCATGCGGCGGTACTTGGGCGGCACCGCCATGCAGCGCAGGTCGGCCTCGTTGCGCACCGCCTGGAAGTCGCCGCAGCACAGCAGCAGGTCGGCCGGGCCCGGGCCGCGCTGCGCCGCCAGCGCCAGCGTCTCGTACACCTTGTCTAGCTCGCCGTGGCAGCAGCCGGCCACGGCCACCCGCATCCTGCCGGCCCGGGCCGAGGCCCGGCTGGCCCGCACGGAGCCCGAGTTCCCGCGCGGCGCTGCGGCCGCCTCGCGGGCACAGCCGGGAACCGACTTCCGGTCTCCGGGTCTCGCGAGAGAGGGCGGGGCGAGCGCGCGGGCCGCGGGATCCGGGACGCTCCGGGGGGCCCTGGGGCTCTGCCTTTCCGCGCGGGGCCTGGAGTCCGCGCAGGCCGAGGCCGCTCACGGTCGAGGCCAGGGAGGTCGGCTCCGTCCCCGGAAGTCGGCGTTTAGTTGGACAAAATTACACCACTAGGGGGCAGGCGCGAGTGGCGACTGTCCGAGGAACGGCTCGAGGCCCAGGCGTTTGCCCGAAAGTGAATTCGAAATTTTAACACAGATTTTTTTCAAGATGCCCCAAAACAAGAATAATTTTAAAATAAAGCTTTAAAACTCACTGAGGAGGTAAAGACTGTTCCCCCAGAGGTTCCAGAGTTGTCAGCTTTTTTTTTTTTTTTTTTTAAGGTGGCCAAGGACTCATCATTTTCCTCCCAAATAATCTGCCCCACGGGAATGCAGACTCAATGAAAGCAGGTGGACGTCCAGGAAACCTCCAGGACGGAAGAGGACCCGACCTGGATGAAAGATGAGCCACACAGAAACAAAGAAATCACCTCTGGAACATTTAATCCAGAAAAAGATCATGTAATCAAGACAGCACGGAGATGGGACCCTCTATGCCCATTTAAAAAACTAGATAAAATAACTAAAAACAAAGAGCAAAATTCATTAAAATGGAAGCAGTACAGGTAAACAGAGCAATGAGAGTAGAAGACACTGGAACTCTGTCAAAGATAAAAATATAAAGGCGTTGTGCCCACATTGATTCGGGGAATTATTTCCTTCGAATGATCAAGGAACACATAATTTTAATGATATTTAAATCAATCAAGAAGGTAGAAAAAGATGGAAATCTAATATTTCCAAGTAGTTTTTTAATTTTATCTGCCTTCTGTATTGGATTTTTTGAAGTAGAATAATGGATGCTTTTTGCAATATTGTTTAACTTTTCCATTTCACTTTTAATTTACAGAAATCGTTTTCTTCTGGATATAATTTTTTCAAACAAAACATTTTAATTGAGCTTACTTAAATTAACATAAATCCAATTTAAATTAACATAAATCCAATTCTAAGTGTACAGTTTGATGAATTTTTACATATGTAATCACCCATATAATGACTACCCATAAGATACAAAGTATTTCCAGACTCCCCAAAGACTCTCCTGGATTTTCTCAAGTCCCTTCTCCCAGAAGAAGAGCACTGTTCTGAGCTCCGTCACCGTAAGTCAGCTTTGCCTGTTTTTAATCTTCACTTAAATGTAGTATATATTATGCAGTATTTTGTATCTGGCTTCTTTCACTCAATGTAACGTCTGTGAGGTGCATCCATGAGTCCACACTACAGCCATATTATACTATTTGTTATGGCTGTGTAGTATTCCATTATGTAAATATATCAGTTTATTTCTCTCTTTTTCTGTCGAATGGCTTTTAAATGGTTTCTACTTTAGGGCTATTTTGAATGAAGCATCGATGCACATTCTTGTCAGATCTTTCAGTGTTCATAAACACTCTTTCCTCAAGTTATGCACAGGAATAGAATCTCTGGGCAATAGAGTAAGTATATGTTTAGCATCAGTAGACAGTTTCCAAAGTTGTGCTCGTTTACATTTTCCTAAGTGATATGGGAGAGTTCTAATTCATCCATATGCTCAACAGCACTTGATATCGTCTGTCTGTCAAACGTTAACCATTTTGGGGGGTACAAAGTGGTATCACCATGTGATTTCCATGTAAATTTTACAACAAAATTTTGCAAATATGTAAGACAATTCAAATTTTCCTTTTTGTCACCAATAGGAAATAATAACTTAATGCCGTAACATCCAGAAATTAGTTGTCAAAGCAAGGAGCTAGAACATGAAGAGGAATGAAGAAGTGCAATTTCCAACTCTACTCCCAACCCAAACCGGATTTTCAGAGGCCATACTGAAAATATAGTCCACAAACTACAGTGAGTTGTTGGGGAGTCAACAAACAAGAATTCTTACTGATTTTCTCAGATTCAGAGAGAAGCAAACCAAACAGAAAGCCTCGTCCTTTTCTGTTCTGAATGAGAAGAAACCAGAAGGTGGTTGGAGAAAAATGGACTGAGTAGACGATAAAGGTTACTCTTTGTGACAAAGGTAAAGGGTTGGTCCCATGGGGAAAATGAACGGGTCCCAGATGGGGTGGCATTACAAAAATTATGGGAGGCCACTTTTTTTTTGCTTTGGTTTTTGTTTTGTAGAGACCCACTATGTTGGCAGGGTGATCTGGAACTCCTGGCCTCAAGGGATCCTTCTATCTCAGCCTAGTGAATAGCTAGGTTTACAGACATGGGCCACCACACCCAACGAGAAGCCAGTGTCTGGGCTCCTGCACAAAGCCCCAGCAGACTAAACCAATCCAAAACAGTGTCACAAATGCTAAATGCCACATAATCCAACTGAAACTTTAAAGAAGCAGCTAGATCCAAAAACAGACAAGTTAAAAAAAAAACAAAAACAAAAAAACAAACAGGAGATTCCAGACTATCTGAATTCGTGTAATAAAGACATTCCCTCTGCTTTAACCCTTACAAAAAGTCACCTGAGGCCGGGCTTGGTGGCTCAGCCTATAATCCCAGCACTTTGGGAAGCCGAGGTGAGTGAATTGCCTGAGCCCATGGGTTTGAGACCAGGCTGGGCAATTTGGCAAGACCTTGTCTCTACAATTAAAAAAAAAAAAAAATCAGCCGGGCGTGGTAGCTGATTTTTGGAAGGCTGAGGTAAAAGGGTAGCCAGCGCCCAGCAGGCCGACGCTGGGGTGACCATGAGTGTCCAACTGCACTCCAGCCTGGGCGACAGAGTGAGACTCCCAACTCAAAAAAAAAAGTCACCTGAAATAACCTAAAGTTTACCAGTCAGCTTTTTTTCTGTTGTAATGTCTCCTGGTTCCCATCCTATGAAACCCATCATTCTGGTATTGTGAAGTGGGAACATTCATTCTATTTTGTAGGATAAGGAGTTGCCCAGTTCTGGACTTGCAAATAAAAGCTAAGAGAGATCTTTAAACTAAATTGTCCTAATTTTGCTTTGGGACAGTGGGAAAATACTTCCCTGATGCTATCAGAACGAAGACAGTGTCTAAATAGAGGCACTCAACAATAAAGATGATGAAAAAAAGAAACCACAGTTCAACTGCAAACACACGAAAAAGAACATGGGAGAATGCACAAAAGTGTTTCTTTTTTTTTTTCCTTTTGAGTTGGAGTCTCACTCTGTCGCCCAGATTGGAGTGCAGTGGCCGCTCCTGCCACAGCAACCTTGACCTGCTGGGCTCCGGCGGTCCTTCTGCCTCAGCCTTCCAAGTTGCTGGAACTACAGGTGCGCACTACCACACCTGGCTAATTTTTGATTTATTGTAGAGATGAGGTATTACCAAGTTGTCCAGGCGGGTCTTGAACCCGCGGGCTCAGGCAATCCACTCACCTCAGCCTCCCAAGGCGTGGAATTACAGGCTGAGCCACCGAGCCCGGCTCACAAAAGTGTTTCTTAGGTACAGCCTAACTTCTTAGATACAACCAGACCCTGATTTCTGGATTTTTTTTGTTTTTCGTTTTGAGTTGGAGTCTCACTCTGTCGCCCAGGCTGGAGGGAAGTGGCACGCTCCTGGCCACCGCAGCCTCGACCTGGTGGGCTCCGGCAATCATTCCGCCTCAGCCTTCCAAGTAGCTGGAACTACAGGTGCGCACTACCACGCCTGGCTAATATTTTTAATTTATTGTAGAGATGAGGTCTCACCAAGTTGCCCAGGCAGGTCTCGAACCCGCGGGTTCAGGCAATCCACTCACACTAGCCTCCCAAAGCGTGGGATTACAGGCTGAGCCACGGAGCCCAGCTCAGACCCTGATTTCTAAATACTATTCTCCTCCAAAAGAAATCAATTCAGCTTGTTGAAATGGCTGATTTCAAGGCAAGAAGAGCAAGAAATGAGGGTGAATCATCTTGTGCAAGAAATTAAAAAAGTTCTTAAAGAACATGGGGATGTCACAGGGATGCCAGATGGATAGAATTTCCACTGGTCAAATCTGGAACAATTTTAGTACCAAAATACATAATCATAGTAACTCTGTCGCCCAGAGTGCTGAGATTACAGGTGTGAGCCACTGCACCTGGCTTGTTTTCACTTTTTTTTTTTTTTGAGTTGGAGTCTCACTCTGTCGCCCAGACT